GTAACTAGGATTAGTCAAAAATTAAGGGCGAACGACTTGTACATACCTAAAGTTTACTGATAATACAAGTTGGTATCCAAAAGGTTTTGAAACGACAAATAGTACCTTCGTCATATCTGTTAGTGATTTTTGTTTATTAATAGTGAAAGACTAAAATGCCCTTCAAAGTTTCAATTTATAAATTTAAAATTTCAAAAACCCCTAAGTTACAAATTTTCTAAATACCCCATATATAAAAGTTTTAAAATAACAAAAACACCCCCCACCGGAAATGCCAGATCCGCCACCATCGCCGGAATCTGGCGGAAAATGTATTACGACACAGATCCCCATCGGATCTGTGTCGTAAGTGCCGATGTGGCCTTTTCGGCCAGATCCGCCACGGATCTGGCCGAAAAGGCCAGATCTGGCGTCGAAGCAGCAGCCAGATCTGGCCTTTTCGGCCAGATCCGTGCTGAATCTGGCCGAAAGGCAGATCTACTGCCAGATCTGGCCGTCGACGCTGCAGATGGAGTTTTGCGGCGTCGACGGCCAGATCTAGCCGTAGATCTGGCCTTTTCCGGCCAGATACCACGGATCTGGGAAAAGGCCAGATCGACGCGTTACGCACAGATCCGACGGTGTCTGTGTCGTAACGCAACTTTCCGGCCAGATTCCGGCGTGGTGGCCGGAATCTGGCACTTGCCGGTGGGGGTGTTTTTGTTATTTATAAAACTTTTATATATTGGGGTATTTAGTGAAATTTGTAACTTAGGGGTTTTTTGAAATTTTTAAATTTAAAAAACTAAAATTCAAACTTTAAGGGTATTTTAGTCTTTTCACTATTAAAACAGTATAAACAGAAATCACAACAGAACATGACGGAAAGTACCTATTTGTCATTTCAAAACCTTTTGGTACCAACTTGTCGTTACGATAAATCTTGGGTATGTATAAGTCGTTCTCCCAATAATATAATTAACTTAGGAGACAGACTTTACTGTTTCTTAATTACTTAATAGGTTTACGATATATATTTGTCAATGCTTACACGCTTACTTGAAATAACTTGTAATTATTATAAATAATTTATACATAAGAGAGAATCTAATATGGTCTCTCATGGTTGACACGTGATGTCATTGAAAAAGCAATGCCCTACACCTTTTACTTTCATGAGTTCATCAGTCGGCCACCACAATTTTGACTTCTCTCTTATCGTGTACCATTTGTGGGGTTTTGACTATATATCTGGAAGCATTTGTGTCACGCACATCACTCTGCTTTTTCTCACAGTTGGTGGACTTAGCGTGCTGAATGCGGTTGCTGGAGCTTACGCTGAAAATTTGCCAGTAATTTGTATGGTTGGGGGCCAAATACAAATGATTATGGAACCAACAAAATCCTTCATCACACTATTGGATTGCCAGATTTAGCAACAGTTCAGTTGCTTTCAGACTGTTACTGCTTTAGGTATAATCCTAACTCACTGCCTTTTTTTACATAACAGGATAATATTAATGTCGTAACACTAGAGTGTCCACGGCAGAACTCTTGGAATATAATAAAATAGAATGAAAAAAAAAAAAGAACATGGGAGACAACCTGATCAGAACCTTGGTAAACCTTGACTGTTTGATGGCTTTGTCTGCTAGTCTGCTTCCCATCACCATGAGCGAAGGAGAATAATCTACCACTAGATCTATTGCAGTACAACAAATAGACTTATTACAAACCCATGTAAGTGTTATTAAATTTAGAACACATCCATACAGGCTAGCTGAGATGGTTAAGACAAATAAGGTTTGATTCTTTATCTGAGTATATCTGATTTAAGTCTATTGTAATTGTTAGTGGCGAGGTGCATTTATAATAAAAAAAAAAAAAAAAAAAAACCTTGATAAATGATATGTCCTTTATTCTTTTATAATAATGGATACATTTTATATAAAGGAATATATAATAGATAAATGCAATAAACTCTATTATGCATGCACAATTAGTCAGGAATATAATGATAAATGAAATAAACTCTATTAATGCATGCACAATTAGTCAACAACATACTCAAATTATTCGCCTTTTGATATAATTATATATATGTTTTTTTTCAAAACCTGTAAACCATTGATAATGCTTAAATATGATAAATGTATAAACTTACACATCATATATATAATATATATATATATATATATATATATATATATATATATATATATATATATACTCCACACACACTAAAATGTGATCGAGTCTTATCTAGCTAAAGACTCATACGTGGGTATCCCGTATCCCAGATGTTAGGACAAACTGGAGATAATGGGATAGACGTAAGGTCTCAGGTTCGATTCCCCATCTGAGCATCTGCACTTAAGTGGGAGGTCATACGGTGGATTGTTAGCTAATCTCTTCGAGGATTAGTCAATTACGCATAAATTGCCGGACACTTTGGTTACAAATATATAAATACATTTTTAAAGTTCAAAACATTACACATCAAATCAAATAATACAATAGTCCCCTTTAGGGTGGAGCCAAAAATATTTTGGGGGGTCGAAAATATGGTGAATGAATAAAGGGATTAGAGCACTGCAAAGTTACCTATCATATTGATACGTTTACAAGTCCAAAAACACTTGTAAACATGATGGGACAAGAATTACAAGTTCTAAAACACTTGCTAATTTGGTTGGATTGAAGAATTTCACTCAAAGTCCTAAAACACTTGGATTGTGGAATGCAATAGAGGAAATTTGGCCCAAACAAGTTCCAAAGAAGGAGAGAATCTAACATTTGGCCAAACCATTGCAAGCCCAAGCTCAATAAGGGAAGCTCAAGTCATCAGAAAAGCCCAAGTGTTGAAGTTGTCCAATCCGGCCCAAGTCTCATTCTAAGGGGAAAATCCACATGAACTCTATTGGATCCATTTGCAAGTTCTCAAGGCCTGAACTCTTGCACCATTATTAGTAAACTTAATTAGGGCCATTGATCAAGTTTTAATCTAATAAAGTGAGCTTATGCAACTAATGAGTGGGTAAGACATAGATCCTAGAATTAGGGAATCATTTTTCTTTTGCATTAATAAGCATGACATTGCTTTTTGAATGAATAGCTTGTAATATTAGTTAATTTTATTTCATTTAATGTATTTTCAATTACTTATTTACCTTGTACTTGCATATATGAAGAAACTATTTTCATTGTAACATTTAGCTCATGAAATATATTGAATTTGGTTTATCCATTTGAGAGAACTTGTGTGCTCTTGAGTGTGCATTCTTTATCAAGTCTTGGCAAAGGATTTAGTGGTGATCAATTCAAGTTGTCTGAGCAATCTTTTATACCTGAGTGTTTCTACTTGTCTTGGTCCGAAATTGCAAGTAAGTGACTTGAACTCTAATATTGTTTGGCCGAATTTAGCTTGGATTTGTGTTGTGTTGTGTTCGAATTGGATCACATATGTATGAGGGCCAATGTGATGTTCAAAATCTAAGGTTTCCAAAGTTGAAAAATTTGAATTTACAAGGACAAAATTCATAATTTTATATTAATATTTAAATTTTTGTGGGGTTACTAGTTCCCTCAACCAAACTTTCCAAATCATAAACATCCAAAGTAGCTTTCTAATAATTCAAAAGTCTTCACACGAAAAAATAATATCCATGGCAACACTCATTGATCATTACTTCTTACCACAACATCTTCTGAAATTAAAAAAGTATCAAGCTTTTTGTACAACATGCACAAGAATTAAATATTGTGTGCACAATTTTGGGTAGAATGGAACCAACGAGTCGGTGGTTTCGGTTTCCGATTCCATATGGTGGAAAGATAAAAGGAAAACTTGGGGCATGAGCATGACAAAAATTTATTATGTTTTGAGAGCCCCAGGAAAACCATCTTCTTACGAGAACTTTGTAATTGTGATATTGAATGTTGACAAATTATGCAAATTAAGGCTATATCATGAGTTGTGAAATACTTTTGATAACTAACAATTGCAACACACACACTAATCATATTTAAAATATGCGAAATCTTTGTTTCTTTTTCATTTTCTTATAGTGTAGCTATAAAATACACTAAGTGAGGAAACATTTAGTACTATAATAACGTTGGACTTATGTATGTGTTTATGGGGTTTTGGGTTGATTATATTTTGATTAGGCTGGTGAATAACTTGGAAGATGCGCCTGAATTGATCGATACTCTAATCAACTGCTTTGAAAGAAAGCAAGCCTGTTATATCAACATCAGTTGTAATTTGCCCTATTCCACATCCTACTTTTAGCCGTCACCAGTTCCATTTTCACTTCCCCCGATAATTTCTCTCCTCATTATAACTTTCTTATCTCAACATAGACATATAGATTAATGTGACTGTTTCCTTTTCTTTGTCTATTATTAATTTGAGTATCAAATGGGGTTGGAGGCTGCAGTTGATGCAGCAGAGATGTCTTGAACAAGGCAGAAAACCAGTGTTGGTTGGTGGACCAAACTGCGAAGTGGCCAGGCATGTGATGCCTTCTGGAGGTCTGATGCTTGTGGTTACCCCTTGCGGTTATGCCTCGGCAAAAGAGCTAGTACCAGAAGACCCTCATTTTATTGGAACTTATTGGGGTGCAGTGAGCACAGCTTTTTGCGCTGAAATTGTGGAATCTGCCGATGCTTATTTGTTGTGACCCATATTTAATGACCTTAGCTGTGTTGGGTACTCTCTTCTTGAAGCGAGAGAGGCGATTATTGTCCAGCCTGATGCCGTGGTTATTGGAATGGACCTTATTTGGATGTGTTTTGTGAAAGACTTCCAAAGCACTTTCAAAGGGCTCCAGCGCAATACTACAGCTATGACAATTCACCAGGATTTGTTCCTGAGGGGCAACCTCGAAGTGTGAACCCAAAGCGGCATTGAGGGTGAATATGCATTCCACACATACAAAAGATGCTTGTCTAGTGAAAACTGTTGATTACTGACCAGGAGACTCTGGTTGACTGCCAGAAACTAAAATGCCAAAGGGATGCGGGTGAGCAATTTATTCACGAAGTTACATAAAATTTTGGGAATAATATGAATAGGTTTGGTTTTGCAGGTGAGTTCCAATTGCAATACGGCGATTGGATGGTTGGTTGGTGCAAACTTTGGTTATGCGCAGGTGTGCCCAATAAGCTGTCATTGCTTGTATTGGAGATGGTAGCTTCCAGGTATTTGATTCATTTTTTTTTTTTTTTTTTTGGGGGGCAATTGTCTCACTTTTTTTTATCAAAAAGAAAAAATTCATCTAAACTATTAAAAACCCCACTATAATAATAATAATAATAATAATAATAATAATATCACTTGATAAATGGATACATTTTTTATTAAACGATTGTATAATAATAAATGAAATAAACTCTACTAATGCATGTACAACTAGTCAACACCGAAATCTCATCAAGTCATTATCCAACTAAATATATATTTGTGGATAGCGTAGATGGTTAGGGCAAACTGGGTATAGTGTGGATAGACGTCGGCCTTAGGTTTGATTCCTTATTTGAGTATCACAATTTAAGTGGGGAGCTGTGACGATAGGTTGTTGTGCTAGTCTCCTATGAGGATTAGTCGAGGTGTACGTAAGTTGACCTGGACACATTGGTTACCAAAAAAAAAAAAAAATTTATCCAACTAATAGAAAAAAAACATTTTTAAAGTTTAAGACATTACACAATCAAATCAAAATAATACAATAGTCCCCTTAGGGGTGGAGCCAGAAAATATTTTCGGGAGGGCCGAAAGTAAGGTTGAATGAACAAAGGGATTAGAGAAATGCAAAGTTATGTATACATATGTATGCGGACCAAAGTGTGAGATTCAAAATCTAAGGTTTCCAAAGTGAAAATTTTATATTTAAAAATTTTTGTGGGGCTACTGGTCCCCTTCAACCAAACTTTCCGAATCATAAACATCCAAACAACACCTCACTGATCATTTTCGTCTTTACCACAACAATCTTCTGAGAAATTCAAAAAACGTATCAAGCTTTTTGTACAAACATGACAAGGAATTAAATAGGGGTGTGCAGAATTTCCGAGTAGAACCGGAACCAGCAGGCACCTGGGGTTTTGGTTCCGATTCCGATTCCCATATGGGTGGACCCGGTAAAAGGGAAAACTTGGGGCATGACGCATGACAAAAATTTATTACGTTTTTTGAGAGCTCTAGGAAAACCATCTTCTTAAGAGAAACTTGGTAATTGGTGATATTGACTTGTGGACAAACTTATGCAAATCAAGGCTATATCATGAAAGTTGTGACATACTTCTTGATAACTTGCAACACACATATTTTAAAATATGCGAAATCTTTGTTTTCTTATTTCATTTTTTTCTTATAGTGTAGCTATAAAAGACAATAAGTGAGGCAAACATTTAAGGTAACTATAATAACGTTTGACTTATGTTAATGGTTATGGGGTTTTGGTGTGTGATATTTTGATTAGGCTGTGGTGAATAACTTGGAAGATGCGCATGAATTGATCGATACTTCTATATCAACTGCTTTGAAAGAAAGCAAGCCTGTTTATATCAACATCAGTTGTAATTTGCCTGCTATTCCACATCCTACTTTTAGCCGTCAACCAGTTCCATTTTCACTTCCCCCCGGGTAATTTCTCTCCTCATTATTCAACTATCTTATCTTAACATCATAACATATGATAGATTAATGTGACTGTTTCCTTTTCCTTTTTCTTTGTCTATACTAATTTGTTTATTTTTCGGGTGAGCAGATTGAGTAATCAAATGGGGTTAGAGGCTGCAGTTGATGCAGCAGCAGAGTTCTTGAACAAGACAGTAAAACCAGTGTTGGTTGGTGGACCAAAACTGCGAGTGGCCAAGGCATGTGATGCCTTTCTGGAGCTTTCTGATGCTTGTGGTTACCCCCTTGCGGTGATGCCATCGGCAAAAGGGCTAGTACCAGAAGACCACCCTCATTTTATTGGAACTTATTGGGGTGCAGTGAGCACAGCTTTTTGCGCTGAAATTGTGGAATCTGCCGATGCTTATTTGTTCGCTGGACCCATATTTAATGACCTTAGCTGTGTTGGGTACTCTCTTCTTCTGAAGGGAGAGAAGGCGATTATTGTCCAGCCTGATCGCGTGATTATTGGGAATGGACCTTCATTTGGATGTGTTTTGATGAAAGACTTCCTAAAAGCACTTTCAAAGCGGCTCCAGCGCAATACTACAGCTTATGACAATTACCACAGGATTTATGTTCCTGAGGGGCAACCTCTGAAGTGTGAACCCAAAGCGGCATTGAGGGTGAATATTGCATTCCAACATATACAAAAGATGCTGTCTAGTGAAACTGCTGTGATTACTGACGCAGGAGACTCTTGGTTTGACTGCCAGAAACTTAAATTGCCAAAGGGATGCGGGTGAGCAATTTATTCACGAACTGTTACATAAAATTTTTGGGAATAATATGAATATGGTTTGGTTTTGCAGGTTTGAGTTCCAATTGCAATACGGGTCGATTGGCTGGTCGGTTGGTGCAACTCTTGGTTATGCGCAGGCTGTGCCCAATAAGCGTGTCATTGCTTGTATTGGAGATGGTAGCTTCCAGGTATTTGAATTCATTTTTTTTTTTTTTTTTGGGCAATTGTCTCACTTTTTTTTATCAAAAGTTACATTCTTGGCGATTGTTTTTTCTAAGATGACCGCACAAGATGTATCAACAATGCTGCGATGTGAGCAGAAGAGTATCATCTTCCTGATTAACAATGGTGGTTACACCATTGAAGCTGCGATACATGATGGACCTTACAATGTGATAAAGAACTGGAACTACACTGGGTTGGTTGATGCAATCCACAACGGCGAGGGCAAGTGCTGGACTGCCAAGGTTAATCTATTAATTTAATTTAAGATGGAAGATTAATGCCTATCCTGAAACTAATTGTTGAATATGTAGTTGCAGGTTCACTGTGAGAAGGAGCTAATAGAAGCAATCGAGGAAGCTACTGGAGGCAAGAAGGATTGCCTCTGCTTCATTGAGGTAATTGTTCACAAGGATGACACTAGTAAAGAGCTCCTGGAATTGGGCTCCAGGCTCTCTTTTGTCAATAGCCGCCCACCAAACCCTCGATATTCTTGGGCTTGAATCCTTAAACTAGAAGTTAATGATGTTTTCCTTCTTCCATTTAAATAACAATGGCAAGCGACGAGGACATTTTGTGCTGATGATATGTACCCGATCCTTTTACTTGATTTCTCTAGTTTTGTTGTGTATGAATACTTCATTCTTTATGCTTTAAATGTTCAACTATATGTTCCAAAAATGCCTGGACCTTTCTTTTGCTAGACATTGACAACCAAAATATACCTTCTCCATCTGTAGATAAACTAATTTTAGAAGGAAATCTATTGGTTATCCAAATTAGTAGTAACCGATCCAGAAATTCTTGTTAGGGTAGACCAAAATAAAATGTAATAGCATATAATATTCATATTATATGTTTTTAGTTGAAATTGTCATAAAAAGAAAAAAAATTCCATATAAATATTTTCACCCTCAATATACTCTAGATCCGCCCCTACAAATTAGTACAAACCATTTTGGTCATCTTTTATTCCTTCAAAATTTCCAATGCTTGCATTGTACGTTCTACCATAACCAGATACTCCTACCTATGTGCCTTTCCTAATTAAATAATTGGTCTCTTATGTTTTTATACTGATGTGATAACATATATCAAGCTGTTATTGTTAGGTTTAGTGAAGAAGAATGATAAGTTTGTTTAATCACAATTAGATGACTTAATGATAAAAGAGTAAAAAAATTCAATATAGGTTCTTGAGTTCGAGTCTCCTTATACATTAATATGTATGACATCCCTTATTAACAAAAAAAAAAAATAAAAAATAAAAAAAATATAAGTTTGTTGACTAATGTTTTGAAGAGAATAAACAACGAAATTGCCTTGTAACTTGTAAGTAACGCCTTTGCAAAGGGCCCAGAACCAGAAACCATGTGCAATTTACCTGTCTATTGATCCTTGCCGTAACCAGGATTAGTCAAATAATTAATCACTAACTCAGGAGACAGACTTTACTGTTTCTTAATTTATTTAATAGCTTTACAGTTATATTATATTTGTCAATGCTGACACCCTTACTTGAAATAACTTGTACATTATATAAATAATTTATACATAAGAGAGAATCTAATATACGGTCTCTCACTGTTGACATGTGATGTCATTGAAAAAGCAATGCCCTACGCCTTTTTACTTTCATCAGTCGGCCACCAACAGTTTTGACCTTTCCTCTCTCTCTTACGTGGACCATCCTAATACGACCACATTTGTGGGGTTTTGACTGTATATCTGGAAGCCTTTGTGCCACGCACACCATCACTCTGCTTTTCTCACATCACAAGAACAGTACAGAAGAAAAAGAAACTGGTATCTAATTCTAATGTTAAACTCTGAAAGCAGGAAACAGAAATACAGAACTGGTATAAACAGTCGAATAAGGAGCGGGCCAGTTGCGTTTGGAGGGTAAATGCAGCATTGGCTGCGGCGGACAATCACTACATGCATTGGGGCTACGTCTGCATGCTATACGCGGTACTAATTAAACTTTGTTTTCTATTATTACTATTCAAAAACCAAAACCAACACTAAAATCAGTGGACTAATTATACGAATATGCTGGTTTTGATTTTGCTTTCTTTGTTTCATAAAACGACTTTCAAATACCAGGTTACAGCCAGCTTGACCACCCACCAACCATTACGTGGGCGACTGCCTTCACTGTTGTTGACCCCTTGGATTCTCTTTTACTACTCAAGATTCTGTGTTTGATTTGGTTTTGGCTTTTGCATAATCCCATTCAAATTACCCATTGGTCACCGCAAAATCTTTCGTTAATCAAACTTTAATTCATTGCCTTTCAAAACAAGAGGCTCCAAACTGAAACTGGAAATCTAAGCTACCCACTTATCTAATTGCCATATCAAACAATAAGCTCAGTTACTTACCTATTCAACAGGGATCCTCAAATTCCTGTAGTCCACGACACGTAATTACATTCTAGTACTTTCTTTTTAACTAATTAATCGTTGATTAAAATGGTAATTAAATTATTAAACAAAGCGCGTACTTCTCAAACATTCTCCCACCAATCCCAAACAAATTCCTCGTACTAGAGAAAAACCATTTTCTCCCAAGCACTACTGCCTTTCACTAAATCGCCCCTGGTTTCACTATCACAGTAAAACCCTCCTTGTTATAAATTGTCCTTCTTTCATCTCCTTTGGAAACAAACAAAACCCATCAGTTTCTTTTCATCAAACAAAATGCTTTTATATTTTTTCTTCATTACATTTGTCATCAAATTTATTCAGATTCCTTACAATCAACCATGGACACAAAGATTGGATCACTTGACACCTGCAAGCCTTCCTGTAATGACTTGGCTTGCCCAGCAAACGGGCTTGTTTCAACCATCCAAAGCTCTGTTTCACCGTCCTCAATAGTCAACCCGTCGGAGTCGACTCTCGGTCGCCACCTCGCTCGCCGACTCGTTCAAGTTGGTGTCACCGACGTGTTCTCTGTCCCCGGTGACTTTAACTTGACTCTTCTTGACCATTTAATCGCTGAGCCCGGGCTTAACTTGATCGGCTGCTGTAACGAACTGAATGCTGGGTATGCCGCAGATGGGTACGCGCGGTCGCGAGGTGTCGGCGCGTGTGTGGTTACTTTCACCGTCGGTGGTCTTAGCGTCCTCAATGCCATTGCTGGAGCTTACAGTGAAAATTTGCCTCTGATTTGTATAGTTGGAGGGCCAAACTCAAATGATTATGGAACCAACAGGATCCTTCATCACACTATTGGATTGCCTGATTTTAGCCAAGAACTCAGATGCTTCCAGACTGTTACGTGCTTTCAGGTATGATCCTAAATTATAAGGAAGTTGTTTTCTTTGTTGATTAATAATATTAAAAAGTAGTCTCTTTTAAAATCTAAAAAGAAAAGATACCTTTAAGTTAATTCGATATGTTGGATTTGATTTGTTTATTCATTTATTTATTTTTTACTCTAAGCTTGAATGCTGTTCATGGGTTTTGGAAGTTCTTGTTGATGTGTGAATTAGTTTGATAAATGATGATGGTTTTGATGTTTGTTTTTTGGTAGGCTGTGGTGAATAACTTGGAAGATGCACATGAATTGATAGATACTGCGATATCGACTTCTTTGAAAGAAAGCAAGCCTGTTTATATCAGTATCGGTTGTAACTTGCCTGCGATTCCTCATCCTACTTTCAGCCGTGAGCCAGTTCCATTTGCACTTTCTCCCAAGTAATCTTTGAAGACCTAAGTCATGGCTTATTTTAAGCGTTATAAGATATGATCGGTTTATGTGAGTGATTTTTTGTGAATTAATATTTTATTTTTATTGTGGGTGAGCAGATTGAGTAATAAGATGGGCTTGGAGGCTGCAGTTGAGGCAACAGCAGAATTCTTGAACAAGGCAGTGAAACCAGTGTTGGTTGGTGGACCTAAGCTGAGAGTTGCCCAGGCATCTGACGCTTTTGTTGAGCTTGCTGATGCTTGTGGTTATGCCCTTGCGGTGATGCCTTCGGCAAAAGGGCTAGTGCCAGAGCATCATCCCCATTTTATTGGAACTTACTGGGGTGCAGTGAGCACAGCTTTTTGCGCTGAAATTGTGGAATCTGCAGATGCTTATTTGTTTGCGGGACCTATATTTAATGACTATAGCTCTGTTGGATACTCTCTTCTTCTTAAGAAAGAGAAGGCAATCATTCTCCAGCCTGACCGTGTTGTTATTGCGAATGGGCCTGCATTTGGGTGTGTTTTGATGAAGGATTTCCTGAAAGCACTTTCAAAGCGGCTCAAGCGCAACACTACTGCTTACGACAATTACCACAGGATTTATGTTCCTGAAGGGATTCCTCTGAAGTGTGAACCTAAAGAGGCACTGAGGGTGAATGTTCTGTTCCAGCATATACAGAAGATGCTGTCTAGTGAAACTGCTGTGATTGCTGAGACAGGGGACTCTTGGTTTAACTGCCAGAAACTTAAATTGCCTAAAGGATGCGGGTGAGCAAAAGATTAACTATTGATGATTTTAATGTCTCCTAGCGGGGTTTATAAATTTGAAGATATAATTTGAATATGGTTTTGCAGGTATGAGTTCCAAATGCAATATGGATCAATTGGATGGTCAGTTGGTGCAACTCTTGGGTATGCACAGGCTGTGCCTGAGAAGCGTGTAATTGCTTGCATTGGTGATGGCAGCTTCCAGGTATGTGGGGTTATTATTCCGTGTCTGGTAATTGTCTTATACTTGGAAAAGCAACCATGAGAAACCCTGTTAGTAATTAATTGAGGAAATTACAAGCACATTGGGTTTTGAACTGAAATACATGCTTCTTTGTCACTTGATTTGTTATTTGACAATGCTCTTCTATTGCTTTTAAAATTTAAATGTTTGCCATATCTTGCATCATCTCACCTCAAGATCCTTCCAACGTGTTATTATCTTTTAATTCATGGATATTTTATATTTTGCTTGGTGATTGCTCTCAGGTGACTGCACAAGATGTATCAACAATGCTGCGATGTGGGCAGAAGACTATCATCTTCCTGATTAACAATGGTGGTTATACCATTGAAGTTGAGATTCATGATGGACCTTACAATGTGATAAAGAACTGGAACTACACTGGATTGGTTGATGCAATCCACAATGGCGAGGGCAAGTGCTGGACAAAAAAGGTTAGTTGGTCAACATTACTGCATTGGCTTTCTTCCATCAGGGCCAATGGAAAATCAACGCAATGATTCTAAAACCTTTTTGTTGAATTTGTTGTTGCAGGTCCGCTGTGAGGAGGAGTTGATTGAAGCAATAAAGGAGGCAACTGGACCAAAGAAGGATTGCTTGTGCTTCATTGAGATAATTGTTCACAGGGATGATACCAGCAAAGAGTTGTTGGAATGGGGTTCCAGGGTCTCGGCCGCCAACAGCCGCCCACCAAACCCGCAGTAGAATTGTGCTTGTATAGCCAAGTGAATACTATTACCCACCAGTCCTAATTAGTTGAGTGGTACCTTATGTGTTACTTGAGTTTTAGTTTCGTGAACGGTTTACTTCATTTGCCAGGTGCTGTTGTTTTTGCGGGTATATTTCTTTTTAATCAAAGTACTGAATCATTTGTTCTTCATTTATCTAGTCTTCTTCTGCAAAATGCCAAAATCAACACATTCATGGACTGATAGGAAAAAATTTTGACATTAATGAAAGATGCTTCACGTTTTCTTTAACCTACTTTTCGAAACTTCAAGATCGTGGCCCCCATTCTGGCCTTACCTAAATCTAAATAAAAAATACTGATAGATGGAAAAATTTGCTGGTAGAAGACAAGTGGGTCTCACACGTGAAGAAAGTTCCAATTGGCGGCGGAGCTCTCACTGCAGTGTTGGCATGCTTGCATTGCCTTCCACAGAAACAGATATTTATGCTGATTGATTAATACGGTCTTGTATGTCAATATAAACTCTTATTCAGTTGATAATTTTAAATTGAGATACTTAATTAAACATACTAGTGTCATTAAAAAAAATTGGTCTACTATAGTTATGACTTTTGTAGAGTTGCATTCCATAACATTCTAAGTTCAGATGCAAAGAGCACGAACTTAATTATTCTTCTGGAGAATAACTTCCATTAAAAGATTCGTCTCTGGGTTCATGGGAACTTCGTTATACTTCTGGACCCTTGTAACGATCCTTCTTTGGGGTCAATTCATTTAATAATCTAGAAAGAAAATATAACTGTATTAAATGGCGGTAAAAGGTAGAAGGGTGACATGAGAACGCACGACAAGTCGTCCACAAAAATATTAAATAAAGGACAAATGCTATTAAAATAGTGAACTCATGACAGTTTGGAACAGAAGACAAGTCGATATCAAAGTGTGAAAACGAACACAAATATCATTTGGAAAAAAAAGGTCGGCATATCCCTCTTTTATTTATTTTTTTCTTCAAGAGAACACGTGTCTTTAAGTCCACCAAAAATGGTCCAACATACTGTTGCAGAGCTTTCATAATCATTCAAGATATAACTCTCACCATATGCGAAACAATCAGATCTTTACAGTGGGCAGAATTGTAAAGAGGATGCGACTTGTCTCCTGCTGTTTTGACATATCATGTGGAAGAACAAAAAAGAATGGTCCTACCCCGATTATAACTCCAGCATATAAATCAGCTCAATTCATAAGTTACAATATAACAAGAGAATCATATAGAAAATTAATTTAATATTAACAAGATTCCAACTTTGTAAATAGAGCGACAGCAATTGCTTTTGGATCCCATTACTAGCAACAACTCCATGATCAGGGCAAAAACTGGTTTAGCATATACTGACATCTATACAAAAGTTTCATTAACAGTGTCCCATGGGCAACCAAAAATCTTACACTAACCAGACACTATGCACCATAGATTTTGACAAAATATGATTTATAAAGATCTAGGTGTCACTTGGTGCAAGCACAAGCCGGCCATTTTGAAGTAGGTTGGCAGGGAAGGGCGCTCGACAATTGGTAATATGCGATTTAAGCCTGGGTATGTTGGGGTGTGCACTTCTACATCGATGGCAGCGCAATTCCATTAACAACACGCTCTCTTCATCCATTAGTGTTGCTTTCCCATGGTTACTGATTTCCTCGATTACATCAACTGAATCGCGGAAAAATGCAGTAGTGAAAGTGTTCCAGTGCTTCTTATTCTTAAGATGTTTAGAATCAAAATCCTGGCTAATAACATGTAGGTGTAGTTGGCGCATAGATGGAACCTGCAATAGAGAGTCGAAAATGCCTGTTAGAAAATTATAATTTCCGTTAATCTATACCTAAATTGAGAGCTGTGCCGCTGAACATTTCTGCAGGAAATGAGATGGAAACAATTAACCAAATAGACCAGAGAAAAAAAGGAAAAACAATATGGAAATTGGAAGTCAAAGCTACAGTTTCTAAAATACTTAAACAACTAGCAGTAATGATTCTCAATATTAAAAAAAATCAATATTTTAAATCACGGCAACAACAGATCTTCACATCTAAACCAAGTTCTCTTGACAAAGACATGACTCCTAGCTCCGGTAATTAGTCAACTGCATAATTTGACCTTCAATTGGTATTGCCTCTAATTTCTGAGTTCTTTCAGTTCTAGATCCATTTTACTCCTATGTTGCATCCCAACCACGTCAAGGGCCCAATACCACATGAAGTCCTGGCGAGAGATCTACTTCCACAACCAAATTACTACATTCAGAACCAAATTTGGTCCCAAAAAGATATTTGCATTTAAGTCAACCAAAGCTACGTTAATGTCGAGGAAAGCATGAGGAGTTGAGAAAGGACAAAAAGGAAAATGCAAAGGAAGAAAACAATTATCATATACCGAGTGATATCCGAGGCGGAAGACCAGTGATGCATCTTCAAGCAAGAACTTCTCGGCCCACTTCAAACCCATAGCATGCATCATTTTTAAGAGTTGAAGATGTTCTTTACTGACATCTGCCAAGTGATCAAGACCATCACATCGTGCCAGCACCAAAATGTGTTTTTTTGCCTGTAAAAGAGAATAAGATACCCATATGTTATTTTTACTTCAACTTGAGCATATTAGGAAAGGGGGAGATGACACGACACATGTACCTTCGGATAAAGATCATTTAGTACAACAAAATCGTCTGTTATCTCAAGCAGATCATCCTTATGCTTTTCAGGATGCATGGCAATGTTGTAAAGAGCTTGAGCCCAGGAGGCCCAGACCTTAGAATTACTTCCACCAGTATTGTCATTGTTGGCATTTACCTTTCCAGCCCTAGAAACATTAATATCGGATCCTACTTCATTTTGAGACCCCTTGCACTTCTTGCTTCTTTCATGTTCATATACACCATCTCTTTTTATCTTTTGATCACTTTTTAAAGAAAAAATTTTAGGGGCATCTTTAGAGTGACCTAGTAAGACTGAAGGCTTTGACCCAATTTTTTCAATGCTTCCCTTGGGTAACTTTTCTTGGGACCTTACTACCGATAGAAAACCTTCAAAAAGTGATGTGTAAGCCATTCGAAGAATTTTGCAGCCTTTAAGATAGTCACCATCAAGACAATTTGGTCTATTTGGGTTCATATTAGGTCCAAGAACATGTATAACATGGGTCACCCCTTCACTACTATGCAAGGGAGATGCTGAAGAGAGTGGGACAACCACCGCATTCCCAGGGGAAAGAGATTTAGCCTGTTCCTTGGTTGCAACCTCCAGGGCAGGACCTGCAGCACTGAAGATAGCAGCATTCACGCCTCCACCTCCAGGTTTCAGCCGCCTGCACAGGGTGATCTGTGAGTTAATCTTCTTAATGTGACAATCACAGGCTTAAGGTGAAAATCTTCAAAGGCCAAAAGGGAGTAAAAGGTTATCCCATGTATGCATTCCAGTAGAAAGACATCAAGAACTTTAAACAGACAAAACAGGCTTTCAAAAGAGTTTCCCAAGTTTGATATTTCAAGCCATTCATTTAACCCCTACTGAACTCTATGCGCATGAGACAAATCATACAAGCTTACCAGTTGGCAGCATTAGCGATTACATTACAGTGTAAACCTCCTCTGGAATGAAGTCGAGTTATATCTCCTACAAATGTGAAGAAATTTTTGGGGTTAATGTTTTTTTGTGCAGCTTTAGCCCTAACCAAAGATAAAATCTTTGATCCATGAGTCAAGTCCACTAATACAAGCCGAGCATTTCCAAGCTTATATAGAAACTCCTCAACTTTCTCAATAATTATGTCAGAGGCCTTTTCATGGTTGAATTGGAAATCAGATGTTGAAATAGATGGAAATGCCAGAGTGGGAACATCATTTAAAGAACTATTCTGGTTGACAGAGTCCACTACCAGGTCATCACTTATCTTTCCCTCCTCACCTGCAGTATCTGATAATGAAGAAATGTTTTCTCGTCCTTCACAGATGGGATTCTTTACCTCAGTAGATTCAGGAGGTGCAGAATCCTGACCTCTACTTGCATTGGATCTGGCATTAGAAGGAACATCTACTTTCTTCAAGAACTTCATTATACCAAGTTGAACTTTGGCATCTGGATTCTTTTGGCCAAAACAACCATGTGGAAGGGTATCCAAAGCACCAAGCCCAATGTATGTATCAAGAGCAGCTTGAACATCACTCTCATTCTGGCAAAACACAATTCGAGAAAACCCTTCACTCAACTTAGGCAGTTCTTTCTTCCGTAACATACTATTCACAACTGCTGCAGCTTTTCCACCTTGCAAATTCCCTTCATGGTCAGTCCGTTTAACAGATCGAGATACACAAAGTTTGGCAGGAAGATCAAGGACCACAGCATGCATCTCTACTTGAAGAGCTCCAAGCCTCATAAAATCCACACGTTGTTCTCTTTCCAAGTTGCATCTGTCAATAAATACACTTTTTCCCTCCTTCAATGCACGGGCTGCATTCTTTAGGCACTGGACCTTCGTTCCAGATTTGCCGTTATTAATTGTATCCTACAATACATATAAAACAAAATATAACCAACCATTAAGGAAATTTCAAATACTACACATTTGCTCATTGTAACAATCAAGCGCACTAGAATTCTGCACCACTTCTTTCTGAACGTTAAATCAAGGACAAAATCATTTGATTACCAATACACATTCTTATATAGCTTCAATAATGAAACGAAGAAAACGACTTGCAACAAATGTCCCAATTGTTTTGTGCTCACCCTCAAAAACAACACTTGTATCGATTTGTTTAGTGAGTCCTAACTATTACTCAGTCCTTTTTCCTGCTGGCAGTTGAATATGTAGAAGAAGCAGTACATTGAACAGGATTGTTTTTTTTTTACATAGCCATTCCAATACTAAGAAACATGAAGCTCAGTGAAGCATTTTATCAAATAAGTACGATACAAATAATTGGAGAAAAAAATGATGAGACCTGACAAATGCGGACCCAGGGCCGAGCTGAGGAACGCAAGACTTGGTCGCAGAAGGTGGACTTGCCGCTTCCTGGGGCGCCCATTAATAGCACCACAATTGGTTTCCCCTTCTCTCCTTCGCCTTTCATTACACGCATTATACGTTAAGAAAAGAATATAAACTAATGATTGGCATTGAAACAAAATTTTTTTAATAAAAAACTAGCAGAAATAGCATACCTCCGGCTTTACAAGTATCGTCAACATCCGTATCCATTCTTAATCAGCGATTAGGAGTTCATGTGGGTCTGTAATTAGAAGATGCAAACTGCAAACTATGCCGAAACGTTCTCTTCAAGCTTCGATAGGTCTTATAGCAGGATTGCCGCCAGCTCGCTACTGGGCGGTCGTCTACGGTCCTAAATGGGCTGGGCCTAAAAATGGACCAACTGTATAGGCTAAAGTTACAGCTGGTCAAACGTAAAGGGACAATATATATATGTTGAAATTCATAATTCATTTTCTGTTTTAATAAAATAAAGAATAGTTCATCGAATTTTACTATAAGGTCCCCTGTGACAGTGGGTATAATTCTCGGGAAAATTATACAGCCACCGATGGTAGTATACCAAATTTGTGCACGAATAAAGTGACAAAATCCTGACGTTGATAATTTAACTTAATAATAATCAATGGTCAGGATTTTGTCACGTCATTCGGTGTACAAATTCGGTGCACTATTTCGATAACTGTAGTATTATCTAATTCTCGTGGAGGTTATAGTTCTAGGGGAAACAGTCTTGTAATTGAGACCTAAGGAGACTTTTGACTATATAAATAAATCTATGTTTTGAAAATTTCAAAAATAAAAACCATATCGAGATGAAAAGTTAATATGCTCCATTCAAGAGTCTTTTAGAATTATGATAATGACCATCTTATACAAACCATGTTGCTGTAAAAAAGTGTTTCCATTATTGCTACTGTTGATGCGGTTTTTTATCACAAACTAGAGGGATGCAAGCCTGGGAAGTTGCGCAAAAGATTTAGAAAGATTGTAATAGAAAATAGATGTTGAACCCATGGATCCAGTGTGATTCTGTGTTAAATTAAATGATGTGCAAGCAGTAAGTGCGTAGGAAATAATAGTGTGATTCATGTTTAAATTAAATGATGTGCAAAGCAGTAATTGTGTAAGGAAAATAGAAAAGAATATGACAAAAAACGATTTTTAAAGTAATTTGGATGCACAGAGTAATTTTTACATCCACGTTATTTTATGATGAGTACAAGGAGCATATATTTAGAAGACTATTACTGTAGGGTTCTTGTAGTAAAAGAGATGAAGTATCTCTTCGGTTTCGATGAGAACCCTTTAGATAGTGTTTTGAGGGTGACCTGTGAAATAATTCACGTACAATTGACATGTGACAAGTATCAATTAGTTTGTGAGTGAGTAGTTCGCGTATGAGTTGACACCGGAGAGCAACTTGCTCCTTAATGGGCATGTCTCCTTGAAGAGTCGGTGGCTTCCTTCTCATGAAGCTTTAAACGTATATATTTCTAATTATATATACGTATAAAGCTTTTAATTTTTCTGTATCATGTCCTCACTTGTTGGCACTTCCCTTCTGAATTCTGAAAGCTTTAACAATATTAATGATTAATTAACTAATCAAAACTAGATTCCAAGTGGTTGATCAAAATTGTTGTGGAGAAGTGGTCCATTAAAACCTAACATAATTTTCATGATTCCATTCCATTTAGATAACCATATATAAATGTAGATTCAAATAATTCAACACCTTCTAAAAATCATTCGTTATTGTTAGGGTCAAAAAATGTCCTCGACCCAAATAAAGCCCAAAACGAAAGACACCTCTAGCAAAGCTAAAGCTCAAGCCAATCCCGATGGGGCCCATAACAAAGTTACAGAAAGGCCTGATTCGGTTTGTTTTCCACACTCCTCACATCTAGACCCAGGCCTTCTGGTCCTAGAACACCTCCTGGATTCACGATCAAATTGGAGCCTACAGTCGCTACGAACTACAATACTATTGAACTCTACTAAGGAAGTCAATCACGGTCCTAATTCGTCTAAGGCCGTTCTAACCACGCGGGATCCCTTCCTATTAGGTAAGAGAACAAAAGGCTCCACTTCCACAAGCCATAACTACAAGGACTCCAAGTCCGACCGTATTCAAGATGTAGTCACTATTTAACAGGGCCAACCTTCCACAAGGCACGAACACATTACCTTCAGACCCTTGAGTTCTCACTCTTGAGAACTCCATATACAGTCGTAGTCACAGTCTCCGACTAGACTTTTGATAACATTCTCTCACCCTAACCCTCACTAAACTAGCCTCTCTCAGCTGCTGACTTGAGCGTCGGAGTGTCTACGGCAAACACCATCCCAGTATTTCCCGTCCGCTTCACGCTTGTTCTTATATGTGCAGGTGCAGCATATTACTAGTGGCTTCAACCCACGGGATCAATCCCCCTTTCCGTACATGTAGATTTTGCTTCTACAGTTATTATTGCATTCAGTCAAATTCGGCGTTTTAAAAACCATCGTTACTATCAAAAGTGTTCCCATTGCTAGATATAATATAGTTAAAATATATTATTTCTTTTTTAAGTGAAGTCTAAATCAGACATCCATACAAAAATGATAATTGATTTAGCAATAAACTAGTGTTTATGGTTGGAAAGCTGAGCACCGACAGAAAAAAAAAAAAAAAAAAAAAAAAAATTAACATTTAGGAAAGGGATGAGCCGGTGAGGGAGAAATAGGTTTTGCCCCCAACTGAAATATAATTTCACATCTATGAGCAAAGCTCCTAATGTTTCTTTCATTTTCTTTTTAAATAATTTCAACTTGATTATTTTCTTACAGTCTTCCTTAACAAATATTGGCCTTCTATTCTTTCAAATTAGCATATATGTAGACTCCTAAATTAAAATGCTCAATACAACACAGTAGAAAATTTACTGTGTTGGAATACTGTTTTGGGGCGGTTGGAATCAAAAGAATATTGTTACCAACAGTCCCTATCATCTCATAGCATTAAAAATAACAATTAATGCACTAAAGGCTTGACTAATATTATGCTTATATTTATAAGATTAGCAGCAGGGAAACTGGGGCCTGGCGTGGGTTCAAACCTTGAGGAGCAACCATGCACACCCGAGATTTTTTGCAACATTTTCTAAATTCATTTTCAATGACATGGTAAATGGCAGATTTGGCACATAAACTAGTGTTATGGTTGGAAAGTTGAGCACTGACAAAAAAAAAAAAAAAAAGCATTTTGCATTTAGTAAGAAAAAAGTAGAGAAGAGCAAAAGAATATAAAGAAAAATCCTTTAAAAAGCATATATCTTTTTGTAGTTTCAGTCAAGTAGTATTTGTAGTTTGAGTGATTATTGTATTCAGTCAAATTAAGCTAACCTTGCTTTTCTGTCCTCTATAATAAGTTGTGGGTTTTTATCTCTATAATAAGTTTTCTCTTTCTCTGTCTCTAGCAAGAGTTGTTAAAGCCTATTTCCAAGGCTCAAATAAGCTAACCCAAGAAATATCAAATGTATCCCCAAAGCTTCAAATTTGTCAACCCTGTAATAAATGCACTTTTGACAGTAATGTATGGTTGTATAACAACCGTAATTTACGAGTATCAATTGTCATGAGTCATGATTCGAAGAACCACAGCCACCAATTCCCATGGGGTCGACTATGCCACTCACATTCACAAGTATATAATGTCCATTAATCTTATATTCTAACTTCTACTTTAGTTAATTATATCATTCCTTAACATCTATAGAATGTGAGACAACTTACAGTATTTCTTGAAGTAAATATCCTTGACCTTTCAATGTGCTTAACGTTGCTTTATGTTGTTTGCAGTTTCTAAGGGCGGTACGTAATCTATTTAATCAATTTCCTACATAGACGGTTGATAATCTAAGAGAGGTAGCTAGGTCATCGAAATGCTCTATGGAAAAACTCCTAAATGCAACTTAATAATGAACATATTCAAGTTGCTTAGTGGATGAGGACAAAATTTAACAGTTTTCTTTCCATCATCATCCAAGTTGCCTATTCAGATCATTACAATAGTTGGAGTTCGAGAGAGACTTAATTTACTAGAAGTTAAAACATATTGAGATATAAATATATATATCTGCTTCATCACTAAAGTCAGTTAGTTTCATGTTCATATTATATATGAAGCATAACTTTAAACAATGGCCCAAATATAGCAGATGTGGAGTAAAACTTTGTCAACCCACACAATATGGGGGTTGAATATATAGGAATCAATGAAAATAAATGTGGAATAAAACTTTTACAACCAAAACACATAAATTATAAACAAGTATAAGCAATAAAGATATAAGTATTAATTTGAAAAAAAATATTAAATGATTGGAAAAGAGAAATGCTCAAAGATTATGCTGATTTGAAGCTTATCCCTAAGCATATCCTACGTATATAAACAATATATTACAAAGATATGGCAGTTATTGTTAATAAATGATATAGCTAAAGTAGAAGGTAAAGTAAGACGAATGGACATTGCACACTAGGTGAAAGATCTTCAAAAGATCACCATTATTTATATGCAAAGACCTTTATAGTGTAGTTCACATAAAACCATCCAAATTGATATGGTCCGCTTAATTATTTAATTATTTATAATAATGAAATGACGACTAATGTGTTTAGGATCTTCACAGTGCATGCCGTTTACCCTATAAATACCTATTTTAAGAGACGAGAGCTTGTCATCATACCTCTTATCGCTCTTCCATTCTTCAGCAAGCGGACATGAACAGTTTGTTATTCTTGTCGCTTTAATTGCCTGCAGCCATGCAATTCTTTGGCTGAAGGAAGACAGTTAAGGTACAGGGAGAAAGAAGAAACAGCAAAGCGAGGCAGCCAAGGCATCAGTTTGCAACAGAATGCTGCAGGGCTCAAAGAAGATTTGAAGTCAACAAAACCTAGTGTTGACATTCCTACTGCTGAAAACACTGTGAGTATGACAGGGGAAAAGGAAATATTCCCACCCATGAGTTTTGGTGCTTCTGCAACAGTATACCAGGATGGTTTTCGACCTACAACAACAGGTAACATTCCTGGTGTGGTTGGCCATAAACATGCGAAAGAGGAAGAAGATGTCGAATCCAAACTCGAAGAAGATCATAGCCTTAGATTTAACGGTGGGCATTCTGATCCAGGATATAATTCCCGACCCACAACACCCGGGCACGGTCCAGACGTTAACAAAAGTGCAGAACCAAAAGCATAAGCATGAACACATACATTAAGGTCATGTACTGTTCATTTAAGTCTCGTGCATATTATTCCATGTTGAAGCTAGCTCGTTTATGTATGTTACAATGTCTCTTTATGGACTCGCCGCCATGCTTTTATTTTAAATAAAATTTACTCCGTCTATCATAATTTCGGCCCACAACACAACCCCGGGTCATAGTTTTAGAATAATGCACAAACATAAACACAAATTAATGCATGAAATCTTAAAGATTGAGTCACAAAATTCAATATAATTTAATTGCAATCATATCTTAAAATCCACATACTAATTTATTAAATATTGAATAAATAAATTAGAGATTGCTGAATGCACAATTTTTTTTCCAAAATTGAATCGATCCATCTTATACGAACCATTGATTGCTGTAAAAAAGAGTTCCCATTATTGCTTACTGTTGATGTGGTTTTTTTGCATAAACTAGAGGTATACACGCCTTTGGGAAGTTTGCACAAAAGATTTACGAAAGATTGTGAAATGGCAAATATGATACTGAACCTGTGGATTCAGTGTGATTCATGTGTAAATTAAATGATGTACAAAGCAATAAGTGCGTAAGGAAAATAGAGCGATAGACAAAAGCGATTTTTAAAATAATGTGGATGCACGGAGTAATTCTTATGTCTACTGTTATTTTATTAATGAGTTTACAAGAAGTATATACTCTAAAAAGACTATTATTGTAGAGTTCTTGTAGTAAAAGAGATGAAGATATCTCCTTGGTTTGGGTGAGAACCCTTTATTGATAGTGTTTTGAGGGTGACCTATGAAATAATTCATGTGCAGTTTGACATGTGACACTATATCAATTAGTTTGTGAGTGAAGTAGTCCGCCTGCGAGTTGACACGGAGAGCAACTTGCATCCTTAATGGGCATGTGTCCTTTGAAGAGTCGGCTGGCTTCCTTCTTCATGAAGCTTTATACGTATATATTAATCCTTTTAATTTTTCTGTTCATGTCCTGATCTTGTTGGCACTTCCTCTTCTGAATTCTGAAAGCTTTATACGTATATATGACTGATTAATTAACTAATCAAAACTCAGATATTCCAAGTGGTTGATCAAAATTGTTGTGGAGAAGTGGTCCATTAATAACATAACATAATTTTCATGATTCCATTCCAAGTTTAGATTATCCATATATAAATGTAGGATTCAAATAACTCAACACCCTCTAAAAACCATTCGTTATTATTGCAGTCAGTCAAATTCCGGCTGTTATAAAAACCATTTGTTACTATAAAAAAGTGTTCCCATTGCTAGAATATAATATAGTTAAAATATATTATTTCTTTCTTTAAGTGAAGTCTAAATCACACATCCATACAAAAATGATAATTGATTTAGCACGTAAACTAGTGTTTATGGTTGGAAAGTTGAGCACCGACAGAATTAAAAAAAAATAAAAAATTTAACATTTAGTAAAGGGATGAGCCGGTGAGGGAGAAATAGGTTTATTGCCCCCAACTGAAATATAATTTCACCATCTATTGAGCAAAGCTCCTAATGTTTCTTTCTTTTTTCTTTTTAAATGATTTCAACTTGATTATTTTCATTACAGTCTTCCATTAACAAATATTAGGCCTTCTATTCTTTCCAAATTAGCATATATGTAGACTCCTAAATTAAAATGCTCAATACAACACAGTAGAAAAATTACTGTGTTGGAATACTATTTTGGGCGGTTAGAATCAAAAGAATATTTGTGTACCAACAGTCACTATCTAGCTCATAGCATTAAAAGCAAACCAATCTAATGCACTACAGGCTTGACTAATATTATTTGCTTATATTTATAAGATTAGCAGCAGGGAAACTGGGGCCTGGCGTGGGTTCCAAACCTTGAGGAGCCAACCATGCACACCCGAGATTTTTTGCAACATTTTCTAAATTCATTTTCAATGACATGGTCAATGGCAGATTTGGCACATAAACTAGTGTTATGGTTGGAAAGGTGAGCACTGACAGAAAAAAAAAACATTTAACATTTAGTAAAGAAAGAAAAGTAGAGAAGAGCAAAAGAATATTCAAGAAAAATCCTTTAAAAAGCATATATCCCTTTGTAGTTTAAGTCAATAGTATTTGTAGTTTGAGTGATTATTGTATTCAGTCAAAATTATGGTATCCATTCGATATTATTGTATTCAGTCAAATTCCGGCTGTTATAAAAAGGTTGAACGACATACACCCACCCAAGGTTTGAAGTAAAGACAATGTGATACCCAAATAGTTAGGAAAAGACAAACAAATTCTTTCCGTCAGTTACTGTTAGAAATTTCAGTCTATTGAAAGGTAATATAGTAATTGTATGTAGAGCAGTCAAATTTGAAATTTTAATTATCTTTCTCAATTAATGGAGGAAGCTTCTCTTGAAAGATTCATTGGGAGCTTGACATGTGTCCTTAACAATTGACATTGAATAAAAAAAGAAGAAGAATAAAAGAAAGTCTATTGGCTTTTCGTTTGCTTTGGCTTTGTGTTTTGTCTAGAGTTTGAGGCCTTGAGCTACTGAACGGCAACTATCAACGACGACCTAAACGAAACCATTGATGACAACCAGTGAAACATGAACCAGCGACAGGGGAGGACGAGTTAAGCCGACGACCATGACGGAGTGATGGAAAACTGTTTGCGACGAGTGAAGGGAAAATATATTCACAAACCAACATCGCCTGACGGTGTAAACCCAATGAGCTTCTTTGCTTCATGCTTGTGCCGGTGGCAAGGAGATTGAGCTGATGCTTGCTCTTGCAGAAGAGATATTCTCTGGTCGTATCCATCCTCCACAACCTATAATAAGAAAAAAAAATAATTAGCATGGGGCAATGCAACCTTTTTACCCAAAAAGAAACTGAAAAGAAAGAGTGGAAAAGCCAACCACCTGATGGGCACGACAGACCAGGTCCAAATCATGCTTTTTCAAGAATTCTGACACCTTGTCAGCTCCGAAGGTGTATGAAACTCCTCTGTCATTCATTCCCCATCCCTGAACATCTCTTCCAGGATCCGACCAGAGCAAATCACAAAGTAAACCATTGTCAGGAACAGCAGTAGGACGAGTAAGGTTTCTAATTTGATCCAAGTTTGACAGGTCAGGAGAAAGACCACCATGCATGCACAATATTTTTTCATCTATAAGAGCCGCCATAGGAAGGCAGTTGAAACAGTCAGTAAAGGCTTTCCAAAGTCTCACATTAAACCGTCGTTTGCACATTCATCATAAGATCTCAGAACGGCGGAGAAGAAGGAAAAAGAAAAAGAGGAATTTTGTCAATCTATTTCATCAAACAGAGACCAATGGAGAAGAAAAAAAGAATGATGGAGAAAGAAGAAATGGAAACCAGAACGACAAAGAAGAAAAAAAAGTTATTAATTGCCATGGCAAAATTTTAAGGGCATTTCAGTCTTTTAAGTAGTGTTACCTCTTAGTAGACGGAAATCCTTAACAGAGAATGGTGAAAAATACTTATTTGCCTTTTCCAAACTATCTGGGTATCATATTGTCTTTACTTCAAACCTTGGATGGGTGTATGTCGTTCGCCCTTATAAAAACTATTCGTTGACATCAAAAAGTGCTCCCATGCATTGTTCAGAATATCCTATAAAAACCATTCGTAAAGCTGCAAATCAGACATCCTACAAAAAAATAATTGATATTAAAAACCATAAACTAAATCATATCCTTTAAAAACATATTACATAATTTTAATACCCATTTATAAAGTTCACAAGGTGCTGCTTTTCAAAAGAAAAGTTCTCTATGTCGAGACAACACTGGAACAGCATGTAGAATTCAGAACCTTTTTTCTTCTCTGTCTCTAGCAAGTTACTTTGCTCAGCTGTTAAAGCTTATTTCTAAGGCTCAAATTAAGCTAACCTTTGCTTTTCTTGTCCTCGTTTTGATTTTCTGCCAAGAAATTCAATGTATTCCCAACGCTTCAAATTTGTCAAATCCCTGTAATGGATACACTTTTTGACAAATATAATGGATACACTTTTTGATAGTAATGTATGGTTTGTATACAACCGTAATTGACCGAGTATCAATTGTCATGACGCAAAAGACCAATTTCCAGTTTGTTGAACTTGAAGCTAAATATCCTTGACCTTTCAATGTGCTCAACTTTTGCTTTATGTTGTTTGAAGTTTGTAAGGGCGGTACGTAATCTATTTAATTATGATTTTATTTGGTTCTTAAAAATATAGTAGGGATATAGAGAAAAGTGAATAAAATTAATGAACCAAAATGGTATTTTTGAAACAGCTGATTTATGCGCTGATATTAACACTATTATATTAATTAAACTCACCTTGATTCTTCACAATTGCTTATTACTAATTAGTTTAATGTTTAAGATTAGTGGGAGAGAGGTGCTGCTGGGGTGGGGTTCCAATCTCCGAGGAGCCAACCAGCACACCAACCCTATAAATACCTTAAGAGACGAGAAGTTGTCATCATACATCCTTATAGCTCCATTCTTCAGCGAGCGGATCCATGAACAAGTTGTTATTCTTGTCGCTTTAATTGCTGCAGCCCTGCAATTCTTTGGGCTGAAGGAAGGCAGTTAAAGTACAGGAGAAAGAGAAACAGCAAAGCGAGGCAGCCAAGGCATCAGTTTGGAACAGAATGCTGCAGGGTTCAAAGAAGATTTGAAGTCAACAAAACCTAGTGTTGACATTCCTACTGCTGAAAACACTGTGAGTATGACAGGGGAAAAGGAAATATTCCCACCCATGAGTTTGGTGCTTCTGCAACAGTATACCAGGATGGTTTTCGACTACACCACGGGTAACATTCCTGGTGTGGTTGGCGATAAACATGCGAAAAAGGAAGAAGATGTCGATACCAAACTCGAAGCAGATCATAGCCTTAAATTTAAGGTGGAATTCTGATCCAGGATATAATTCCCGACCCAAACACCCGGGCACGGCCCACGCGTTAACAAAAGTGAGAACCAAAGCATAAACATGTACATATACATTAAGGTCATGTACTGTTCATTTAAGTCTCGTGCATGTATTCCATGTTTAAGCTAGCTCGTTTATGTATGTTACAAAGTCTCTCTGGGATGCCGCCATGCTTTATTTAAATAAAAATATACGTTTTCATAATTTCGGCCCAAACACGACCCGGGTCTAGTGTTAGAATAATATTGCGCAAACATAAACACAAAAATGCATGAGATCTTGAAGATTGAATCACAAAATCAATATAATTTCATGGCAATCACATCTTAAATCCGATATTAATTATAAAATATTGAATAATAAATTAGAGTGCTGAATGCACAAATTTTTTCCAAAATTGAATCGATCCATCATTGATCAATGCCTGTCTAGCACAAATAGACATATTTGAATGGAATTTAATCGAATGTTGCGTTTGCACAGGGACTTAGCCTTTTTAAACATAATTTATTGGCCGCTGCCGTATGGACACTGTCACACATAGATTGGATCACTTCACTCGACGCTATAGCTTTCCTGTAATGACTGGCTTGCCCATCAAACGGGGCTGTTTCAACCATCCAAAGCTCGTTTCATCTCACTGTCCTCAATAGTCAACCGTCCGAGTCGACTCTAGGTCGCCGCCTCGCTCGCCGACTGTTCAAGTTGGTGTACCGACGTGTTCTCTGGCCCGGTGACTTTAACTTGATTCTTCTTGACCATTTAATCGTTGAGCGGGCTTAACTTGATCGGCTGCTGTAGCGAACTGAATGCTGGGTATGCCGCAGATGGGTACGCGAGTCGCGAGGTGTCGGCGCGTGTGTGGTTTTTTCACCGTCGGTGGGTCTTAGCGTGCTCAATGCAATTGTTGGCGCTTACAGTGAAAATTTGCCTTTGGTTTGTACGGTTGGAGGGCCAAACTCAAATGATTATGGAACAAAACAGGATCCTTCATCACACTATTGGGTTGCCTGGTTTTCGCCAAGAACTCAGATGCTTCCAGATTGTTACTTGCTTTCAGGTATGATCCTAAATTATAATAATGTTTTCTTTGTTGATAATAATATGAAAAAGTACTCTCTTAATAAAAAAGAAAAGATACCTTTAAGTGAATTTTAATGTTGGATTTATTATTTATTTTTTACGTTGAGCTTGAATACTGTGTTCATGGGTTTTGAAGTTTTGTTGATGATGAATTAGCTCGATAAATGATGATAGCTTTGATGTATGTTTCTTTGGTAGGCTGTGGTGAAAACTTGGAAGATGCACATGAATTGATAAATACTGCGATATCAACTTCTTTGAAAGAAAGCAAGCCTGTTTTTATCCGTATCAGTTGTAACTTGCCTGCGATTCTTATCCTACTTTCAGCCGTGAGCCAGTCCATTTGCACTTTCTCCCAAGGAATCTTTTAAGACTTAAGTCATGGCTTTTTTTAAGTCTTAAAAAATATGGTCGGTTTATGAGAATGTTTCTTTGTGACTTAATATTTATTAATTGTGGGTGAGCAGATTGAGTAATAAAATGGGCTTGGAGCTGCAGTTGAGGCAACAGCAGAATCCTTGAACAAGGCAGTGAAATCAGTGTTGGTTGGTGGACCTAGCTTAGAGTTAGCGAGGCATATGATGCTTTTGTTAAGGTTGCTGGTGCTTGTGGTTTCTGCCTTGCATTGATGCCTTCGGTGCAAGGGCCAGTGCCAGAGCTCATCCCATTTTATTGGAATTCTGGGTTGCAGTGAGCACAAACTTTTGTGCTGGATTGTGGAATCTGCAGATGCTTATTGTTTGCGGGACCTATATTTAATGACTATAGCTCTGTTGGAAACTCTCTTCTTCTGAAGGAAGAGAAGGAAATCATTCTCAGCCTGATCGTGTTGTTATTGGAATGGGCTGCATTTGGGCGTGTTTTGTTGTAGGATTCCTGAAAGCACTTTCAAAGCAGCTCAAGTGCAACACTATTGTTATGACAATTATCACGGATTTATGTCCTGAAGGGATCCTCTGAAATGTGAAACTAAAGAGGCACTGAGGGTGAATGTTCTGTTCCAGCAATACAGAAGTGTCGTCTAGTGAAACTGCTGTGATTGCTGAGACAGGGGACTCTGGTTCAAATGCCAGAAACTAAATGCCAAGATGCGGGTGAGCAAAGATAATTATTGATGATTTTTCTGGCACCTAGGGGGTTTATAAATTTGAAGGTATTATTTGAATATGGTTTTGCAGGTATGAGTTTCAAATGCAATATGGATCAATTGGATGGTCAGTGTGGCAACTCTTGGGTTACACAGGCTGTGCCTGAGAAGCGCGTAAATGCTTGCATTGGTGTGGCAGCTTAGGTATGTGGGGTTATTATTTGGTGTCTGGTAATTGTCTTATACTTGGAAAACCAACCATGAGAAACCCTGTAAGTAATTTATTGAGGAAACTACAAGCACATGGGTTTTGAACTGAAAGACATGCTTCTTTTCACTTGATTTGTTATTTGACAATGCTGTTCTATTTCTTTTAAAATTTAAATGTGTGTCCCATATCTTGCATTATCTCACCTCAAAATCCTCCCAAAGTGTATTGTCTTTTAATTAATGGATGTTTTATATTTTGCTTAGTGATGCCTCAAGTGAGTGCACAAAAGAAAAAGTTAAATTTTTCTTTTGTTACTGATGATTTCTCGTATGAGTTGAGTGTTTTTTTGGTCAGAAATTAGAGGCATTTGAAAAGTTTAAAGAGTTCAAGGCTTTTGCAGAAAAACAAAGTGGTTGTGCAATCAGAACTCTCAAAACAGACAGAGGGGGAGATTTTGTATCTGATGAGTTCACTTTGTTTTGCAAAGAAATGGGTATTCGTAGGCAGCTGACAGTGAGGAAAACTCTAGAGCAAAATGGCATTGTCGAGAGGAAAAATTGAACGGTAGTAGAAATGGCACAAATTTTGGTGATTGAGAAGAAGCTACCTAATGATTTCTAGGCTGAAGTAGTAGCTACATCAGTTCATCTTCTCAACACTTCTCCAACCAAGGTAGTGAGGAATAAGACACCTCAAGAGGCATGGTGAAAGATTAAGCCCAATGTAAGTGGTCTGAAAATTTTTGGTTGTGTTGCATATGTTTTAATTAACTCAAGCGATTGTGTTAAGATGGATAAGAAGAGTGAAAAAATGTATTTTTGTGGGGTACAGTGATGAAACAAGAGGTAATCGTTTGTATAATCCTAACACAAAGAAGGTAATCATTCGTAGAGATGTTGTGTTTGATGAAAGTAGCAGGTGGTAGTGGAACAATGATGAAAATCAACACTTGCCCCATATGCAAGAGTTGCTAGAATCAGGCGGTGTCACCTCCACAGTCTCCAATATGGAACCTGACAACCTTGGATCAATCCTTCTCTACTCCTTCAGAGTTTAAGAGCAGTGGTGGTCAATCATCCCCTGACAGTGAAACTCCTCTATGGAAGTTTTAGTCCTTGAGAGATATTTATACATCTACATATTCTCTTATTGTTGTAGAGCCCACAAGTTATGATGAAGTTGTTGGAAATGAAGATTGGGAGAAATCCATGAAGGAGGAAATGTTGGCCATTGAAAGAAACAACACATGGGAGCTCATGGATTTGCCACAGGGGAAGAATGCTATTGGCGTGAAGTGGGTCTACAAGTTGAAGTATCATGCTGATGGGAGTGTGCAGAAATGCAAGGCAAGGCTGGTTGTCAAAGGGTACATACAACAGTATGAGGTTGATTATTTTGATACGTTTTCTCCAGTTGTTAGATTTGAAACTGTGAGAATTATTGTGGCGTTAGCAGCTCCAATGAGTTCATTAGTTTGATATAAAATATGCATTTTTGAATGGTGTTTTGAATGAAAATGTGTATGTAAATCTATCACAAGGTTTTGTTATTGCTGGCAATGAAGAGAAAGTTTATAAGTTGAAGAAGACTTTCTATGGTCTCAAGCTAGCACTAAGAGCTTGGTGTGGCAGACTTGATTCCTATCTCCAGTAAAATGGTTTTCTTAGAAGTGACAACGGGTCTACCTTGTATTTGAAGGTGAACGGTAATGATATGCTTATTGTTTGCATTTATGTGGATGACATTATATACACTAGTTCTACTAATATTCTTATTAAAGAATGTAAAGAAAGCATGATGCATGCGTTTGATATGACCAATTGGTGCTGCTGCATTATTTTCTTGGTCTTCAAATTCAACAAACAGAGCATGGCATTTTTATTTCACAAGAAAAGTATGTTGTAGACCTGCTTAAGAAATTTAATATGCTGAATTGCAAAGTTGCCGCCACACCTATGAATTCTGATCATGAATGATGGACAACAAAAGCTGATGATAAGTGGTTTAGAAGCATTATTAGTGGGTTGATGTAACTCAACACTCATTCGGATATTATGTTTCATGTCAGGAATTGAGCACTAACTATCCCTTTTAATGGCCTTATTAAATAGCACTTTGTGATGGGGCAACGTGGATCAACCGTGATGTTTCATTTTTGTTATTCCATTATTAATTAAATCTCAAATTATTGACAGCTGGTGATTTGATTAGCTTGTAGTTGCTGGCTAGCTATCCAATTCTTACACCAATATTGTACATGCATCACACGTTAAGAAAAGAATATAAACTAATCATTTGGTCATTGAACAAATTTTTTTTTTTTTAATAAAAAACTAGCGGGAATAGCATACCTCCACGTGAGTGTTTACACATAGATCAGAGAGCAACTTGCATCCTCAATGGGCATGTGCCCGACCCCTTGAAGAGTTGGCTGGCTTCCTTCTTCATGAGGCTTCGCTTTCTATAAGATGGCCATGTGTCTTGGCAGTCGGTCATTTTGGAGGACACGTGTTGGGACCTCCTTCTGCATGCTTTTATCGTCCAACACTTACTAATTAAAAACCATTTTTCTCTATGTGCGTATTTTTGCACCAAGTCCATAACGCTGTACCTTTGCGAAAATATGGTTTAGATTCATTTAACACACCCAATTCCCGGAAAATTGAAGAATAGGCCATTCCAAATTTCTGCATGATTCGGCTTCACCCATTTGATCAAATTTTCAATAAACAAAAAGCAAGACAGTGTTGAATATGGAATCATGAAAATTATGTTATGTTATTAATGGATCACTTCTCCACAACAATTTTGATCAGCCATTTGGGGCTGCAAATCTTTGTGGGGTAACACCATGCACTTAGTATTAATTTCATCTTTTTCGCTTTAATTTTTCTGTATCTTGTCCTCATCTTGTTGCCACTTCCCCTTCTGAATTCTGAAAGCTTTACACGTATATATTACTGATTAATTAACCAATCAAAACTCAGATATTCCAAGTGGTTGATCAAAATTGTTGTGGAGAAGTGGTCCATTAATAACATAACATAATTTTCATGATTCCATTCCAATTTTAGATTATCCATATATAAATGTAGGATTCAAATAACTCAATACCCTCTAAAAAGCATCCGTTATTATTGCATTCAGTCAAATTCCGGCTGTTATAAAAACCATTCCTTACCATCAAAAAGTGTTCCCATTGCTAGAATATAATATACAGTTAAAATATATTATCTCTTTCTTTAAGTGAAGTCTAAATCAGACATCCATACAAAAAGGATAATTGATTTAGCACATAAACTAGTGTTTATGGTTGGAAAGTTCATCTATTGAGCAAAGCTCCTAATGTTTCTTTCTTTTTTCTTTTTAAATAATTTCAACTTGATTATTTTCATTACAGTCTTCCATTAACAAATATTTGGCTTTCTATTCTTTCCAAATTAGCATATATGTAGACTCCTAAATTAAAATGCTCAATACAACACAGTAGAAAAATTAAACTGGTTTATTGTAAGATCAAGTTGCACATACACAGACCAAGCCTCTCAAGTTGGCTACATTTGTGAAGTTGCGTGCTCTACTTGAAGTTTGCTCACGTACTGCTATAAAGGAAGACTTTGCAGAGGGTTGATTTTCTTTTAAACTGATTTCTGCAGATTTCAGTTTAAGGGAGGCCGTTAAGATTTAAATGTTTTATTTTATAGTTATTGGAAGTCCTAGTCATTTGTTGGTGTCTTATGTGTGATCCTATTTTATAGGAGTTGTGATCCTATTTATAGGCCCTTTTTCTTTATCAATTATTTGCCAGAGCTTTACCAGTCCAGCGCATCTCTTTTGTTTTTTTCTTAACTTTGTATCAAAGGTGAGCACTGATAGAAAAAAAAAAACATTTAACATTTAGTAAAGAAAAGTAGAGAAGAGCAATAAAATATTCAAGAAAAATCCTTTAAAAAGCGTAAATCTTATTGTAGTTTGAGTCAAATAGTATTTGTAGTTTGAGTGATTATTGTATTCAGTCAAATTCCGGCTGTTACAAAAATCATTCGTGACTATCAAAAAGTGCTTCCATTGTTAGTGGTCTATATTTGAAACAGCTGAGTTAATGCGCTGATATTAACACTATTTTATATTAATTAAACTCGCCGTGATTCTTGACAATTGCTTATTACCTAATTAGTTTAATGTTTATAAGATTAGTGGGAGGGAGGTGCTGTGGTGAGGTTCCAAATCTCAAGGAGCCAACCATGCACACACAGTGCATTCTTTTTAAGCCTATAAATACCTTAAGAGACGAGAACTTGTCATCATACCTCCTTATCGCTCTTCGTTTCTTCAGAAAGCGGATCCATGAACAAGTTTGTTATTCTTGTCGCTTTAATTGCGTGCAGCCATGCAATTCTTTGGGCTGAAGGAAGGCAGTTAAAGTACAAGGAGAAAGAAGAAACAGCAAAGCGAGGCAGCCGAGGCATCAGTTCGCAACAGAATGCTGCAGGGCTCAAAGAAGATTTGAAGTCAACAAAACCTAGTGTTGACATTCCTACTGCTGAAAACACTGTGAGTATGACAGGGGAAAAGGAAATATTCCCACCCATGAGTGTTGGTGCTTCTGCAACAATATACCAGGATGGTTTTCGACCTACAACACCAGGTAACATTCCTGGTGTGGTTGGTCATAAACATGCGAAAGAGGAAGAAGATGTCGAATCCAAACTCGAAGAAGATCATAGCCTTAAATTTAACGGTGGGCATTCTGATCCAGGATATAATGCCCGACCCACAACAGCCGGGCACGGTCCAGACGTTAACAAAAGTGCAGAACCAAAAGCATAAACATGAACACATACATTAAGGTCATGTACTGTTCATTTAAGTCTCGTGCATATTATTCCATGTTGAAGCTAGCTCGTTTATGTATGTTACAAAGTCTCTTTATGGACTCGCCGCCATGCTTTTATTTTAAATAAAAATTACTCCGTCTTTCATAATTTCGGCCCACAACACAACCCCGGGTATTAGTTGCGACCTGACCCACACTAATATCAATACAAATCAATGGTAGGACTTGCTACTTTAGCATCCGAACCACTTAGAAAACCCCCTTTGCATTTATTTCACTTTAGATATTCCATTTTCACGTGTATTTAACAGCCAATCAACGTTACGCACGTGACAATTCGTTGGTGCCAAAAACGAGCATCAACAATTCTAAATAAAAATTACTCCGTCTTTCATAATTTCGGCCCACAACACAACCCCGGGTCATAGTGTTGGAATAATGCAAAAACATAAACACAAATTCATGCATGAAATCTTAATGGTTTTTAAGTGTAAAATAGTGGGTTTGCTTCATGGTTGGGCTTTGGGCCTTTTCATTGATTGTGATTGTGATTGTGTGAATGGTGATAACTGATAAGGTTCTTTTGTTTTGTTTTTGTATTTTGCATCACATACGACAATGAATGGAAGAGACTACTTTGGCCCCACCAAATTGCATTCTCAACCATCAAATGCGCCCATCACAAATCACTTTACCCACAAGCCACAAGTGGGAATTAGTTTAATTATTAATCCAAGAATTAATGTTATTAAATATGTTTTATTTTTTCTTTAGATAATGATTTATACGAAAGACAATATTATACTTATAATTTAATCTCACAAATTTTTTCTTACAACTCTGATAAAACAGTTCACAATTGATCAGCTCACAATAGATCTTATTTGTCCAACAATGAGTCATGCTTGTCCAAGTGCGAATTATTATATCAAGGGTATGAAAGAAAGTTTGTAAGGTTAAATTGTGAGCCAATCTTTATTGTTTGGTTGAATTTGAGTGAGGTGAAAGAAGCTAAGTTAATTCAACAATTAGTGAGCTCAAGCAAGCTTTATGATTCTAATTCTGATTGAGCCATTATGTCTTATGGATTTACATCTACCCCCAAAACCCTTTTTTTTTTTTTTTCATTTTTTTCGGTCTACTATTATCAGATCTTGCAGTTTAAATATTAAAATTGACCTTTTTAATTCAAAAAATATTAACCATGTTAGGACGTAACAGGTAATTCATTCGTCACACGTAAGGCAAACGAATAACTCATTTGTGATTGATGGGCGACAATGGGCAAAAGTTGACGAAGTCAAGACCCAATTAAGTGGAATTGTATTGTTATATTGAATGAATTGTAGGACAGATGAAAACACATAAAAGAGGCGTCAAAAGGCCGTGGCTTTACTTTTTCAACAAAAACAGGACACTCTTATCTTCTTATTATGTCATAACTCACAAGACTTCTTAGCCATTGGTTTATTATTATTATTGATATATTCATTAATTATTAATTTTATTTTTTGGTCTCCCTGGGTTATATGTAGTATATAGTATGACTTTGAATATTTAGAAGATCTACTTGATCAAATTAAACATAGATTCGTAAGATAGCTTTAAAAGGATTGATAGTAAAAAAGATTGGATCATATTATAATTTTGTACCCAACTTCACTCATGTGTTGTTCTTCCTTTTCTTTAGATCGATCCTTGTGCACCGAATTAGTTAATTTATACTTCATTCATGCCAACCTAAACTATAAAGTCTACCACCCACCATGAGTAACCCAACGATAACGGCGAATCAGAGAGTGTCCATGACTTCAACTTGCAGTCATAGGTTCAATTCCCCGTTAGGGGAAAAGTAGTACTTTGGTCAAAGTATACATAAACTGATCTGGATATTTTAGTTAACAACCAAAAAAAAAAAAAAAACCTCATTTTGTAATCTCATAAAGGGAAAAAAAATTATAACATAATATTCTGATAAAATTATATTTTATATTTATCTTAATATGTATTTTATTTTTAAGACAATTATGAAAAAACCCTTAAGCTATTGATTTAAGGGTCCAAAACTAGCATCTTTTATTGTTGTTGGGCCATTCAAGCGTGGGTACTAAGCGAAAGAACTAGACAAATTTGGCCCATCATACATCCTCTGTTCATGAAAGTATTTTCCCTTCAATACAAGTCTCACCAACATATTCCCCTCATACATCCTCTGTCCTTCTTTACTCCCACTCCTTTTAATGTTCCATCACAGACCTTCCTGTTTTCCCCCCTAATTCTCCTTCTCTCAGCATCCAATCATGCAAAACTCTTCACCATCATGTCCAGCACCCTACCTGCTGATGCTACACCTCTCCACTGCACCTTCTAACCATTCTTTCCCTTCCTCTCCATCACCACCACCACCACCACCTCCACCTCCACCTCCACCACCTCCTCCACCTCCACCCTCCTCTCCTCCTCTCCTCCTCCTCCTCGTCGCAGGTCAACCAGAACTCGGAGTGCACCCACGTACTTACAGGACTTTCATTGTGACTAGACCTCTCTCACTTCTTCAACTTAGTTTTGCCTAGGCAACAATGTCCACTACCGGTACAAATTAATTCATGGTTGTTAATTTTGCTCTTGACACAATGGTACTGGGAGTGTGCCTTTATAGGGTGACTAGAAACGTTTGCCAACTTTAATTACAAAAGAGTTGAAGCATTGGGTTCATAATTCAAAGTAAATTTCTCCATCTAATTATTATTTTCAAGTGGGCTTATCATTAGGTCTTTCATATATTAGGTCTAACTATACACAGATGTTTTATCTACTATTTACGGGCTTACAAGGGTTTAACCGTTTAAATGGTTTCAAAAGCTCCGACTCCATCACCATGAATAACAAATTTAGAATGCACTATAGAGCCTAGCGACTTTTGGAAATGAAACTAGTGTTATGGTTGGAAAGCTGAGCACTGACAGAAAAACACATTTAACATTTAGTAAAGAAAAGTAGAGAAGAGCAACGGAATATTCAAGAAAAATCCTTTAAAAACAGCATGGTGGGGACTAAATTTACCGATTGTCTATAAACACCTCTCTTTGCGTAATATAATTAGTAAGCACTTCAAGTTCCAACATGTTATTATATATACACTCTTAGAATGCGCACCATATTCAAATATATATGCATAACAAATATATGTATTCTCCAGCTATTGCCTTAATAATCTTAACTTTTAATATAATATGGTTGTAAAAATTCTTCCACAACTCAAATCTATCAATGTTTTTTGACCTTTTTACCTTTATACAATATTGGCTTCAAGTAATATGAAACATTTTGACACCTATATATATTATTTTTCTAATAATTTAACAGCAGTGACCAATTTCCAGTTTGTCTTGAAGCTAAATATCCTTGACCTTTCAATGTGCTCAACTTTTGCTTTATGTTGTTTGAAGTTTGTAAGGGCGGGACGTAATCTATTTAATCAATTTCCTTACATAGACGGTTGATGAGGTAGCCAGGTCATCGAAATGCTCTATGGAAAAACTCCTAAATGCAACATTAATAATGAATATATTCAAGTTGTCTTAGTGGATGAGGACTAAAATTTAACAGTTTTCTTGCCATCATCATCCAAGTTGCCTATTCAGATCATTACTAATAGTTGGAGTTCCAGAGAGACTTAATTTACTACAAGTTAACACTATATTGAGATATAAATATATATCTGCCTTTATCACTAGAGTTTTCTCTTAAATTGTCATGTTCATCAAGTTTATTTTAATTCATGATATTTTTGTGAAAGTTAACTTTACTTTATCACAATTTCCTTATGTAGTCTTAAAAGGTTGTAAGACATTGTCTGTGGTCCCGCAAGAAAGAGAAAAATTATGTTTGTGGTCCAACAAAACATTAGAATTCTTTTTGTCCTTCACATGTTCAGTTATGTCAGATTTATGCCTTTTGCCTTATCTTATCAGCTAAGATATTTTTTTCCATCTGTTATGCTGTCATGAGGACCACCTACAGGTGTCCCAATATCCACTTGTGGTACAAGGAAATAAGTTTTTTCCCTTTTTGGTTGTGATCCCAAAAGATAGATGAAATCTTTTCCATTTTTGGATCAACATATTTAGCCCTTATTTGTTGACTTGACAAGAATCGGGGAGCACGAAATTGGTCTATATCTTCTTCATTCTTGCTAATTTGTGAACTAACCTTTAATATTTTATTTTATTTGTGCTCTAAAATTTAACTCTATTTAACCTAAACGTTAAATAAAGTTCATCAACTCCAACAACGGCGAATGTAGTAATATAAAGGATTACAGTGAGATCATCATTAACTAATGATCCATCATTTTATGTCATTGAAAACCAAGATTAGTAAAATAAAATATCTATCAACATACAGAGATATCTTTCCAATCTCAATTGTATACCTAATATTATCACAAAAGAAATATATATAAATTATTGGTTCTTATTTATTTATAAGAATAATATTATACGTAAAAACTTCTTATATAAACTCAAACAAATTTACAAATTGATGCATTTTAATCATTATATGACTTTAAATCAGAAATATATTAAATAAATTAGAATAGATGATATATCAAATATATTAGGTATCCCTAGAAATTAGAATAATGAAAATTAGCAAAGTTGCCTACTCATTAATTAAAACTGGGTGTGCATGTCGTCCAATTAGGTGAAACCAATTATATGGAGATTTGAAAAGGGAGATGTATATTACTCTGTTAAAACCTACTGGTTGCAATATAGCTTCTTGTCTGAATATTGTTTTGAGCTATTCTTCATTCTTTCCCTGTTGCTGCTTCTAGTAATTGGGTTTTGTAAATCTAAATAATATATTATGTATAGATTTAGTGCAAAAATACACTTAAAGAAAAAAATTTGATTTTTAGTTCGCCGCACTAATGGAACATTTTGACACCTATATATATTATTTTTCTAATAATTTAACAGCAGTGACC